AAGGAAAGAAAAAGTAGGTCAATATCCCTTATGAGTACACACACAAATACCCTCAACAGAATATTATCAAATTGAACCTAGGAATACAGAAAAAGGTTTATATTCTAGGACCAGTTGGGATCTTGGCTAGTGGTTTAATTTGAAAAAATCAACTAATACAACTCACCATATTAATAGAACAGAGAAAAAACTGTATTATCATCTTGCTAGATATAGAACAAGCATTTAACAAAAATCTATACCTCTATACAATAAAAGAAAAAAAAATCAACAAACTAGAAATGGAAGACTTCCTCATTCTGATAAAAGACATCTATAAAACCCCACAGTTGACATCATACTTAATGTTGAAGACTGTAATTTTCCTCCTAAGATAATGAACAAGACAGAGATATCCAAATTTGCCACCACTAATTAGCATTGTACTGCACATTCTAGCAAGAGCAATTAGTAAAGAAAAATAAATTAAAAGGCATCCATATTGGAAAAGAAGTAAAACTATCTCAGCTTGCAGGTGACATGGTTTTGCATCCAGAAAATCTTAAGGAGTTTATGTATAAGAACACTAGAAACAATGAGTAAATTCAGCAAGTTTTCAGGATAGAAGTTATAATACACAAAATTTTACTATCAATGAAACTGAAATTTCATATGTTCAAAGAACATAAAGAAACAACTTCATTTGCAATAGAATCAAAAAGAAAAAGAATTTAGGAATAAATTTAACAAAAGAAGTATAAGACTTGCATACTAAGAACCACACATCGTCAAAATCAATTAAATTGGAAAATGAAGTACATGGAAAGACAATCCATGTCATGTATCAGAACATTTAATATTGTTAAAATGTCAATACTCCTGAAATTGATATATAAAGTAAGTGTGGCAATTCTGACTGAAAATGATCTATTTTTTTCTAGAAATTGACAAGCTAGTTCTGAAATTTATATGGAAATATAAGAGACCTCTAAGGAGCCCAATCAATTTTGAAATTAAGAATAAAGTTAGAGGACTCATACTTTCTGATTAAAAACTTACCACAAAACTACAGTGTCAAGAGTGTTATTGGCATATATATAGACACATAGATCAGTACAATAGAATTAACAGTCCAGAAATAACCTCTAACATTTATGGTCAACTTAATTTTGACAAAGGTTCCAAAACAATTCAATCAGGAAGGAATAGTTTTTTCAACAATGGCACCAGGACAATTGATATCCACATGCTGAAGGACAAACTGGACCTCTTTCTTATACCATGTACAATATTAACTCAACACGAGTCATAGACCCAAATGTAATGGTTAACAATAAATCTCTTAGGAGAAAATACAGTAGAGCAAATCTTTGTGACCTTGGGTTAGGCAATGTTTTTTAAAATACATTACCAAAGCACAATTTACTAAAGAAAAAATACACAAGACTTCAACATTTTAAAGATACTTTTTCTTTTTTTTTTTTTTAAGATACTTTTTCTTAAAAAAGTGAACAGAAATAATCAAAAAATGGAAGAAGATATTTGTAAGTCATATATATGATAAGGAACTTATACTCAGAATATGTGGAAAATTCTTACAACTCAACGATAAAGAGACAAAAAAACAAAAAATGACCTAAGTATTTAAAAAGACCTTTCTCCAAAGAAGATATGTAAATATCCAATAATCACATGAAAAGATGATGGCCATTACTTGGGAAGCAATCCAAACCAAATCCAAACTGCTTAATCCCCCTTCTGAAGCTACAACTCAAGGATGGACAATAACCAGTGTTGAGAAGCTATGGTGGAAATGAAATTCACATACTCCTGGTAGGAATGTAAAATGGTACAGCTGTTTGGGAAAACACTGGTAGTTCCTCAAAGTTAAACAAAGTTAGCATATGATGCAGGAGTTCTACTCCTAGGTGGCTAGTCCAGAGAGCTGAAAACATTTGTCCACACAAAAACTCGTACATGGATGGTCACAGCAACATCATTCATGATAACCAAAAGAAGACACAGCCCAAATGTCCATCAACTGATGAACAAATAAATAAAACATGACATAGCCATATAATGGAATATTATCAAACCATAAGAAGGAATGAAGTTCTGATACATGTTATGCCATGGACAGACTTTGAAAATGTTATGCTAAATGAAAGAAGCCAATCATAGGAGAGAACACATTGTATGATTTCATGTCTAGATGGTCAAATATTAGAGAAAGTAAATTGAAGGTTGACTATGTTGGGTGGGAGATAGCATGCAACAGAGAGTGATAGCTAACACATAGGAAGTTTCTCTTTTGGGAAACTGTTTTTTTATAAAATTAGAATATGGTGATGATTTTACAGATTTGTAAATATACTAAAATACTTAGAGTTGTGTATTTTATATTTTATTTTTGAGATGGGGGTCTTGCTATATTGCCCAGGCTGGCCTTGAACTCACCATCATCATGCCTTAGCCTCTCAAACAGCTGATATTTCAGGAGTATGTCACCACATCTAGCTGAATTGTATGCTTTAAATGGACAAGTTGTATGATTTGTGAATTATATCTTAGTGAAAATTTTGGAAAAAAGAAGAGAGTCCCAGTGGGCAGGACTGTCCCATTTATACCTGTTGGATTTTCACTTATGAAGGTGACTGTGTGACAAGGGGAGGCTAATGAAATTGAAAGAAGACATTTATCACTTAGGTTTCCTGAGAGCAGGGAACATGCCATGCAGGGCCACATGAGGAAGCACTAGGTTGGACAGGAGGCAGAGGGAGTCAGGAGAAATCCTAGGCCCAAGCCTTCATGTGGGTTTCTGTGGGAAACACAAGGTAGGTCAAGGTAAATAGTTTAGGAATGGCTAGTTTGCACAACTGTGCTGATCTTTGGGGCACAGGGAGTGCCCCTAATTATCTAGTACCCAATCCTGGTTGGTTTAGGGTAGGAGGAACATTGGCTTGGTGTGGGGGAGTTAGAGAAAGGAGATCTGTGGGCATGAGGATTGGTTCGTCTGCTGTGAGAGGTGTGCTCCCAGGTGGCTCTTCTGCTCTCTTTAGTCACTGGCTGGTTCAGGAGAGCTATTCTCTTCTGTCTGCAAGGTCACTAATGCCAGATTGCCAAGAATGCAAGAAAGTCTATTCAGTTCAGTTGGTCCTGTTATGCACAGGTGCTAACAGACATGTACAGAACCTAAGGCAACAATGGGTGTGAAAGACTTACTTTTCATAGCAAGGAATAAATAGATATCTAAAATTGATAAATTCAGAAATGGTGATAAAAGATTATTAGTGTGAAATAAAAAAATAATTCAGGAAGATGAAGTTCAGAAAGGGACCAAAACACAGTGTCTGGGAAGGAGGACATGGTATGGGGAAGATTGCAGCTGGGGACTCTGTTGTTTTTTAATCTTAAATTTGACTTTATTATCAATTCTTTGAAAATATTATGAGCAGGTATTACTTGAATTTTTTTTAGGAGACTATGAAAATACACATTCATTAGTGAATAAAGAACAATTCTTTCATTACACAACTTTTGTCTACTTCTTAAGGACAAATTAGCTTTATCTCACCTACCCCAAAACATAAGGCATATACTGTATTTTCGTTTTGTTATTAATTGAGTAAAACTAACTGCTAATGGAGTTATATTACATGGCCTGCATTTTCACCTACAAAGCCTTTGCTTTATAAAAACCTACCAGGTCTTTATTTAACTTTGAAAAATGTAGTTTTTTTAGTTTTTATTAGTCATTTGTTTGCTCATTCCTTCATTAAATAATTGGTCCTCCATATCCTTGGGTTCTGCATTTCGACCATGGATGAAAAATGTTTTTTAAAAATTCATGTCCATACAAAACACAGTAGGACATTTTTTCTCTTGTTACTATTCCCTACTCATCTGATATAGTATAACAAGTATTATAAGCAGAGATGATGTAAAGCATATTGGAGGTTGCACATGATTATATGCAAGTACTATGCCATTTTATATAAGGGACGTGGAGCATTCAAAGATTTCACTATCTGTGTGGGGTCCTGGAATCATCCCCACAGGGGCTAAGGGACAGCTGTGTACATGTATTTACTAAGGGCTGTCAAATGAAAGGCACATTGCTAGAAGCTGGGCATACTACAGTGAAAAATATGCTTGATTTTCCAAGGAGTGGTCACTCATAGGAAGACATCAGAGTCGCTAGGCAATGAATGACAATGAGGCATTCATAAAGATAGGGTGCCCAAGAAATACATGGGAGATAAACCTTACATCTTGGGAGTCTGGTGTTATTCCTTCCTGGAGGGCGACATCAAAGTTGGTATCTGCAGGATGAGTGGTGACTAGGTTAAGGAAGGTGTGCAAGAGGGAACCAGAATGAGAGAATAACTAGTTAAGTCTGGTGGAAAAGTGCAGTGGTAAGGAAGAGAATAGGAAAGTGTGTAGGCAGATGATGGACCCCCACAGACATCTTCATCCTACTCTCTGGACTCCATGGATATGTTACTTCACATATCCATGTGAAGGACTCTACAGAAAAAGAGACCCAGTTATGACTTTTAACCCCTCATAACTATAAGACAGTAGGATTACATTGTTTTAAGTCTCCAAGTCTGTGGAATTGTATAGCAGCTGGAGGATACTAATGACAGAAAGCAGGCTGGAGAACGAAAGTGGTTGGTGGAGCAAGGTGACAAAGTTCCTGGTAAGCCATTTTAAGGAGTTGAGGGCAACAGTTGAAAGGACCATATTTGCATTTCAGAAAGATTGCTCTGGCTTTATCGGGGGAAGGGACTAAGGCCTCTTTATGGAACTGCTACTGTGGATTTTGCCTTATTCAGAGTGGTCTTTTCTCTCTCTGGTGGGTGATACTCTGTTTTGCTTCAGAAATGACCCTGACTTCTACATGGTTTGCAAATGTCTAGTATTGCACAGTGAATGTGGAAAATTAAAATCAACAGACCCAGTGAATGAAAGGGAACATGGCTAATGCAGCCTTGGCTCCATGCGGAGGCTTTTCTCACCTTGGTTTTCCACGTCCTTCAGTGGGTCCACCCCTGGAGACAGGATAAAAAGCATGGGAGTGGCTGGTCCTGATTCTTCAAAGGAGGATGCAAAGTCAAGTGTTCTTCCTACTATGTATTTGCTTCCTAACTTCTCCTCAACAAAATGTCTGCACAAAGATAGTACATATGTGGATCAGTCACAAAATCCTAACATTCAAGACATGGAGGTCTCTAGAAATGAAAGGATGTGTTTAAGGTCATGGGGTAGATAGGACCAGTTCCAAGTTCACACCTTGTCAATTCAACACTTACAACCTGGACTGCTCAATACAGGGCTGCTCATCTAGGTCAGTATTCCTTCTGAACCACTGTGCACCCAGGCCATCACCAACTGCTTCTGTGGAACTTGGCGCCCTCTCTCATCACCTCATCCAGCAGGAGACTATTAGGACCAAGGCCTTTTGAACACTTGCAGACAGCAAAATCTGCCAAGTTCTCTATCCCTGTCCAAGACTTAAGGTCCTATATGACTGTATTCTTTCACATTCTATCATTCTCTGGCTTTCCTTTCATCTCACTCTGCTTAATGATGCTCCCTTCCAAAGTGGCCCATATTGAGCTTAACAAATCCTCACAGCCACAACCACTCATGGAATGTCTGACCAAACTCCTGACTTTCACAAAAACTTCTACTATCCTCCCAAGGCAAGGACACTACTTCCCCGGTAGCTTCTTAGTTGGGCTCATTCTCCAGTACGTGGTGTATCTCAGCATGGGCAGTGACCAGTTCCTGCCCACTGCCCAATTCTGTTTTCAAACCATTATCTCTCCACTCTCATGGTTCTGTTGAGGCTTGTTTCTTCTGCTGTATCACCACCACCCATGTGTACCAAGGTCATCTATTACCCCATTTGGTTACTCAGTGCTTTCATAGACTACTTAGACACTGGACTCATGGACTTTCGGTCCTCCTGCCTGGATGACATCAACATCCATGTGGATTCTTAGTGACCACTATTCACGTGATCTTCCTTTCTTCTCCCCTCAGCTATAGAATTCTATGGCCACACCTGCATCCATGTCATTACTTGGGAATCTTTTCTATGTGTGAAACAATAAATGGAAACATCCCATTCTCTGACCCAGACCTCCCTATCCTTATAGGTTTTTTTGTTTGCCATTGTATCTTTCCTTCATCTATTCTTTGCTTGCATTGGTACAACTACAAATATAGGGGCTTCAGTATCTTGGCTCCTCTGGAATTTTTAATCATCTCCTTTCTCTCTTCACTTTTTCCCTATTCTTTTAAACAAGTAAACTTTATCAAGGTCTACAACATACTGTATTATTCATCCATTTTAAGTGTACTATATAATGATTTTTAATGAGTTTACCAAGTTATGAAATGTTCACCATAACCCAGTGAGATTCCTTACTGCTAATTAAATCCTATTCCCTTCCCCCACCCTCAAACCATCCCAGGCAATCACTAATCTGGATCAGTGTAGCTCTGACTCAATACCTGTGCTTCTAGAGAAAACTGTTCAATGGCGAAATTTGGTGCCACTATAAATGCAGAATGTTAACTAGGCAGACTCTCAATGCTACTTGGAATTCTTTGAGTTTCCCTGGTCAGCCTTCTCTCCAGTTTTTCACATTCTTTTTCAAATCTTCAGTCTCTTCAACTATTTGATCCTGCCACTCTCTCTTTTACACAAACTCAATTGATGATCTTCCTACTTCTCAGGACAATTAGAAACCACCAGACAAAAATCCTTCTCATTTTTCTGCCATTCATTTATCACTTATAGCCACAATCATCTCTCTTTCTGTTTTTTGTGATACTAAGAATGGATCCTCCATCTGTTCTCTGGGTCATCCCACACTCCTCCACCATATTAGATGAGCACCTGTTTCTTTTCTTCCTTCCTTCCTTCCTTCCTTCCTTCCTTCCTTCCTTCCTTCCTTCCTTCCTTCCTTCCTTCCTTCCTTCCTCCCTCTCCCCTCCCTCCCTCCCTCTCTTCTATTTTTCTTTCTGTCCTTCCTTTCTGGAAATCATACTTGCTCTTGAGCCCTACCAGCATCCATTGCAATGCCGATATTGTTTACCATCTCTTTCTAGACTGTCCACTAAGACATCAAGAAAACACATAGCATACTTAGAGCAAACAGTCTCACAGGATTTGGGATGTTGATACAAAGGCTCTCATTACTTCATGGCCTTGGAGCTCAACCCTGCCAGAATGGCCATCCTGAGATTGTCCTTGCTGGGTGCCTGTCCAAGGCTTCCCACAATCCCCCACTCCCTACCGTATGGCATAGGTCAGCCGGTCAGGCCGCATGGCCCTCATCATGCAGAGGCGCTGCAAGGCTGTCTTGTTCTTCCACTCCTGGGGAAACTTCTCCTTCTCAGGACATTCTGATTCTACAAACTTTTTCCAGCTCTTAGCAGATCCCTCGATGTCCCGATCCAGATTACAGAATTCTTCCATTGATGAAAGTGCCTGGAAAATTTCAGAGAATCCTGCTCTGAAATGTAGTTTCTTTACAAAACTGTAGTTTGCACTGTGTTGGGGGTTGAGAAGCAAGTGGTATTACATACACATTTTTTTTTTCTCATTTATAGTCTGGTCTGCAGTCTTAGATCTTCCTCCAAGAAAAATCATAGAAAGAGGACAGTGATCAGCTCATCCTCAGCAAACTTCCCCCCAACATTAGGCAAGATTTATCAAATGAACTACTTAGGATTCTATTGGCAGCAGAGACTGAGCCACACCCACCTGCATGGTATTGCATGAAAAAGAGGGAGAAGAAGGGATACCATGATTATTTTGGTCATGGAGCTTGAACACCTAGTCTTCCTTGCATTGCTACATTCACTCTGCCAGCAAACCCTGTCCATTCAGCTCTCACAATGTCTTTAGAATCACTGGCTTTAAGTTATGGAAACAACCAAGACGCCCCACTACTGACGAATGGATCAAGAAAATGTGGTATTTATACACAATGGAATTTTATGCAGCCATGAAGAAGAATGAAATCTTATCATTCTCAGGTAAATGGATGGAACTGGAGAACATCATCTTAAGCAAAGTTAACCGGCTCAGAAGGCCAAAAATCATATGTTCTCCCTCATGTGCGGACTTTACATCTAGGGCAAAGGCAGTAATGTTGTTGGACTTGGGTCACATGCTAAGGGGAGAGCACATACAGGAGGAATGGGGATAGGCAGGAAACCCAAAACTTGAAAGTGTTTGATGTCCCCACTCCCGAGGAACTAATACAGTAATCTTAAAACGACAGAGGTCAACATGAGAAGGTGACAAGAAACAGTGAAGAGGTCAGGTAGAGATGAATCAATTTGGGTTGTAATACACTTGGGCATGGAAGCAATGCTAGGAATCTCTCTGTATAGCTATCCTTAACTCAACTAGCAAAAATGCTTTGTCTTTCTTGTTATGCTTATGTCTTCTCTTCAACACAATTAGAGAAAAGGGCAGAACAGGTTCTGCCTGGAAGTGAGGGGGGTGGGGGGGGAGAGGGTGGGGATGGGAGCGGGGGCAGAGGGGAGAAATGGCCCAAACAATGTATGAACATGTGAATAAATGAATTAAAAAAAAAAAGAATCATTGGCTTTGTATTAACGCCAACACTCAACCTTTCTATGGGTTGCTTGTTCTGTAAGCTGCAAGTCCAAGTATGTAACTTGGTAAGTAAATCTCTTCATTTAGTGCCTTCCTCAAATCTATCCAGTTTTACAGGTGTCCTGCTCCATCCTATCCTGACTGAGCTTCCCTGTCCCAGCCTTGGTAGTACACCTGACTCATTCCCCACTCAGTTCCTTCTTATACTACTTTGCACAGTATCCAAGGCCCTGTTCTCTTCTCTACCAAATTCTGCTCCTTCCTATTCTTGTGCTGGTCATGCTCACCATTTAAGATCTTGCAAGTTGTTAAAAGTCCAGTTCAAAATCTGCAACCACCCTCAGGCACATCCTCTGTAACCTAGAACAGGTAGCACAGTCTGTGGGGGCACTTACAGCTACTCATAGAGCTGAAATCTTTAATAACCACTCAACTTTTAGATGTTTGACTTGCTGATAGTTTTTCAGTCTTAACCCTCCTTCTTCCTCTTTTGCCCCATATGTGAACAAGCTGATAAGTAAGCCTGGGAACTCCCTCCAGTAATGCTGGAGGGAAATTGTAGCATGTAAATCCTGCACATGCATAGGAATCCTTACCCCAACCCCACCCATAACTACCATAAACACTGCAAGGCAGTCTCTTTTCCAGTTCTCTCCAGCAACTTTCAGACTGCTTGGAAACTTCCCTCACTGTCCCCAGAAACTCATTACTGGAGTAGTAAACCCTTTCATACCCTCTTCGTATGTGAGTGACATCATAATCTTGAAATTGAGCCAGGCACCCATGGCTCTCTCCTGTAATCCTAGCTACTCAGGAGGCGGAAATCAGGAGGATCATGGTTTGAAGCCAGCCCAGGGATATAGTTTGTGAGACCCTATCTCAAAAAGCCCATCACAAAAAAGGGCTGGTGGAGTGGCTCAAGGTGTAGGCCCTGAGTTCAAGCCCCAATACCAAACACACACACACAAAGAAATTAAAATCAAATTTTGTGTGTGTGGGTCCATCCTGTTTCACCAGAGTGCCCACACATCAACATCACTGATGTTGACTGTGGCCTGCAGTCTGTATGGTTTTTCTAAAGCTAAACCATGGAGCTAAAACACTAGTGGGCTGCCATGAATTTTAGGAGTTTAGGGAGCCCAATACATTCTTGGGCTTCTTTTTTTTCCAATACATTTATATTCACTATGTAGCCCAGGCTGGCCTTGAATCCATGATCCTCCCACCTTGGCCTCCCAAGTGCTGAGATTTCAGGCATGCGCCACCCCACATGGCCCCATGGTTGCTGTTTGAATCCAGTCATTCTTTTAACATTTATTGAATGTGCACTTCATGCCAGGGGCTTGGGAATACAATGGTGACCAAAAAAGGACACAGGTTTTCAAGGAATTTTCAGTCTTAAGTTAAGGAGAAAGGATACAAGGGAGGTATTAGATATGTAGAATTCTGTTGGGTTGAGACAGAAGTAGAAGGGAAGGGCATTCTATGGGAAGAATCAGAAGCCTGGAGGGTGGGGCATAATAGAAACTGAGACAGGCTAGCAACAGAAAAATAACCTGGCATGGGATTCCCTCTCTTAAACAAACATATACTCATGCAAGACTTTTTTTCCCACCACCCTGAGCCATCTCTAGAGTAATAAATCCCCTCTAAGTTGTAAATACCTTGGCAGTAGAAATGTCTTGGCAAGATAGTATCCAAAGGGGCACCTCTGAGCTGGGCTTGCCTAGTCAAAGGGAAGTATGCCCCAATTTCAAGTCTCAGGCAAAGTCTTTCACTTAAGAGCTTATGGATATTGGCAGCATCTCATACATAAACGGCCTTGAAATTAGCGTAAGCACATGTACAGAATATCCCATATTATATAAGGCTGAGTTAATTAAACCTACCAGCCACCTTGGTCCCTCCCTAAAGACTGCCCAGATTTTTCCTGCCTTACAATTTATAAATTGGTCCTTAAACAAAGAAGTCAATGCTTCTATGTCCACCACTTTTTCTCTTGTGGTGCTTCCTCTTACTGTTTCTTCCCCTTTATTTTAATAAAGTTTTGCTACCATTTTGTAATTTGGGTTTATGTCCAGTTTTCTGTTCATGTGACACAAGAACTTGTGATCTTCTGGATTAGTGTCTTCTTAGACCACTCACCCCAGTAATGAAACCATTGTGATACAATAGCAGAGCTTATTGGTGACAAGGGCAAGGTAAGGACACAGAAGGACATAGACACTGGACCTAGGCTTGCCTACACTCTTCTTTCATGGGCTCTGTGGCCTCCCAATTTCACCTAGAGCAGGAACACCTTTATTCATGCTGCTAAACAGAGTGGGGTTGTGTGCAAATTAGTGGAGGAGGCACAGGGAAACAAACTTCTGGCCGTAGTACCACTGTTTATGAGCCACTGGACTTGGAGCTTGTTTTGAAACTTTCACAGGCTTTGTTTTTTTTTTTTTCCTGTGGAAAATGAGGCCAAGTAACCATCTGCCATATCTCCTACTGTAGGGTAGACTCTATGCTTTGAAGATGCAGAGGGCCTCCCTAGCCCTTCCTTGGGGATTGGATAGCTACTGAACTGTAATTGCTGGTTGACTTGTCTGTTACTCCCACAAGACTGTGAGTTCCCTGTGGGCAAGAACCTTCTAGACACTACAAGACACTTAGGAAGTGCTCAATTAATAAAGTTTGACATCTGGGTGGCCAGCAGGAGGGTTCTTGATGGGTTGAGAAAAGCTACAACTGCTATAATTATTTCTCTCTGTGTGGAGGAACCAACTTTCATCTTCTTCCAGACAGCCTCTCACTCCCTCTTCCCAGCTTGCATCATCATTAACCCTTCTGCAGTCCTGTTATCCCCTCTGGCATCTCCACAAACCAGAGCAAATTACACTGTGATCCATACTCCCAGCTGCCAGGATAGGATTGGAAACTATTTTCTTGGAGCCCTGGATTGAACACAATTGCAACATTTAATCTCTCAAATGAGGGAAAGGGATTTCTAGCCTTCTAATAAGCTAAGTGGAAATGACTAATTAACCTAATTACTTTGGACTGAGTAGCAAAATACAACTGAGCTAAATTGGCAACCAGAGTGGTAGTGAAGGGCCTTTTCAAATGCTCACAAAGAAACCCATTACAGATGAGATTTTGCTAATGAAGAACAGAACATGTCCATTACCTTAAATTTCATAATTTGATGGGCCTGAGAAACATCTTTACAAAGGATAATAATAAAAGCTGATTTTATCAGAAAAATTTCATTCATTACCTGCTTATTAGTTCTTCTGGGGAAACAACACAGTCGACTTTTCTCATTACAGAGAATGCTTTAAAATTTTTTTTTCATGTACTATTCAATTATACTTACTTTCTTTAGGCCAAAATCCAAGCAAATACTTTAAAAGCATTTATCAAGGTTCTTGACAATATGTACTGTGTACTACATTGTGCTTCACCTGCACACATCCTATGCTGTGTTCAAGTTGGATGGATCTGGATTTTTTGCTGCTCCATACAACAAACTCATATAGAGAGATAAAGCTTTGCTCATTTGCAAAAAGACTTTGAACAGCCAGATGAGCTCAGCCCACAAAACAAAAAAAAAAGAGTGAAGCAAAGCAAAGCCAAGCCAACCAAACAATTGATTCTGTGAAAAGAGAAACAGAACAAAATTGCACAACTGCTTTTGAGTTGAGCTATGCAAGATGAAAGCCTGTGACTCACTTATTCTTTTCGACTTTTGCTGCAGAAGGCTTTGTGAGGTAATATAGAGAAAGGCGATTAGACTTGGCCCAATTGGGCAACTCACAGTTGCTGAAAGTTTTTCTTTCTGAAGTAGAATCTATCAGGCACATCCCATGTCACCC